TGCAGTAAATGTCAGAAATTTGGTGAAAGTTGGCACTTACCAGCAATTTGAAGAAGCAGTTCAGAAATGTCAAAGAAAATATCTGAACTTTTACCAATAAATTGCAAAGCCAATCTCCATCGTGTACAGTACCACAGGTATAAAACTTCAGAAATAAGTTATGTTAAAAAATTAAGCTCTGTAATTTCCTGCTGGGATTTGTATACTCTCACCAACCAGTGCCAACATTCAACAAGTTTCTGACATTTGCAGTAATATACAAGGCATTGTCCTTATCAGACTTGAGTGAATGTGCCCTTTATTTTCACTAAAAGTAATAAAAAACTTACAGAAGTCATATATGCACATATATATATATAGGTATACTCAAAGTAAAGCAAATGTGGAGTGTCCATAAAAATAATGGCAATTGTATATGTTCAGATAAAGCCAAGGGGAAATAGCAAGGGATTTAAATACACATTAATATTAATATACTTGAACAAGGGATTTATGAACACATTAATATTAATTTACATGGTGTATTAATGTTACTGGTAGAGTGGACCAAGGGAAATCAATGGTCAGTCAATGCACACAGTCTTCTTTTGTACAGAATTCCTGGAGAGGCAATGCATATTACCCTGTCAATGTAATCAATCAATGTAAACATCTGTAATCAATTCACATTTTCTGGCATCACTTGGAAATTACGCATATTGCCCGGGTAAACTGCAAAATCCCCTGTTGGTGCCATTAATTCATACACATTACCTGCTCCTTTATGGGACTGCATACAATCCCCAAAAGTGCCAACTTGCATTAACAGACTGTATTTCAGCGAATGCCCAAAACTGCTGCGTTTCATGGATGTCTCGAAAAAAAGAGACGTTCCCCCAACTTCTTGGACATATGCCAGTGAATGCTGTCAGCCGCATTCAGGAGACAGTTAAACTTCAGAGGTCTGTCTCTTGAGTTTTTAAGCATTCATGGAACTTGCCTGAGATTGACAGCATTCACCACATTCCAGACACTCAATGTAACATTTCATTCCCTCTGTTTCTGATGTCCAGGCTGTGAGTGCCGGCGCTCATGTAGCCAACATGGTACCACCCACACGCGAGAGGGAGGAATAAGCAGGGGGAAACAATCCTCAAGACAACTCAAAAGAAACCAACACCCACACCACCACAACAACAGCCCAATGAGAACCGAGCATGCTCATTAGCCACAGAATGCAATTGATTGTTGTTTGGGGGGGCAGGGATGTAAACCAGAAAAGTGGGGTGGCTGGAATGAAGACTCTGTTATCCTGAACTTCAAACTGTACCGTTTTGTTGAAGGTTGCATTTACATCTCCAAAATGTCCATTGACGAAAGCTATATTATGACTACATTAGCCTCACTAAACCAGCGATAGTAGCTTTGCCATCCATACAGTCAGAAAACAAAACTTTCTCTTAAACAACGGAATAAACATCCTGATGGGGTAGGATTCGTTTGCCGAGCTTTATCCATCTCCCCCCTCCCTACTGAGTTTCTACCTTTTTTAAATGTGAGACCCCCACCACTGTCCCACAACAGCAGCAATACTTCCCCAATAGGTTGACAGAAGACGGTAATTAATTTAAATTATGCAACTCGATTCCCAATTGCTGGCTGGCCCACTTCCTCGTCTTACGGCAGAGCGCCGTGTCACCCATCCTTTCAGCTTGGCTTGCCCTCGGTTGGGGACAAGGAAAAATATTCAGCAACTTTTGTGCTGGAAGTTGTTGGGTTGGGGGGAGGTTAATGAAGAAAAGCCAACAGAATGTGGATGTCAAAAGCCTGATCAAAGTGACCGAGGAAGCCAAAAGGATTTCTTTCTTAAGCATTGGGGGGCCAGGCAGTCCCCCCCCCACCACCACCTCAACATATTGCTCGTATTGCCGGACACATTTCAGCATTTGGCTCGTATGCATTTCGTGACAAGCTAGAAACAGACTGGCGCAAGAGTCTAGCTACAGCAGACAGATCTCTGGTTTTTCCAGACAGATCATCAGCAAGAAAACAAGCAAGCTCATAGCACCGGAGGCACGAAGGAAGCAAAGCTGAATGAATTCTGATTTCTTCGCCTTAAACCCAAAGCAGCAAACTGGCATAAAACAGGAGCCTCCAGAGTCTCATCCGTGGCCTACTGGGACCTTTACGAAAGAGAACAGCCCCCCTTAAAACAGAAAAAAAGCCACACACACACACACCAAGCTAGCCTGTTATTCTGCCGGTGCAAGAGTCAAACCCGAACTACAAACCGTCACACGGAGAAGGTCACTACACTGTGAAAACATTAACGGCATGCTTCTCCAATTAAGCCGCGCAGACACAATAAAAAACAAATCCCGCACAACCACCTGTAATGATATGCCTGTTCGAGCAGCAATTTCTAAAGTGCCAAGCAACACAAAAGGTAGACATTTTCTGCAGCTGGTTTGGTTTGTCAAAGGGGGGGAAAAAGAAGGAAGGAAGGAAGGAAGGAAGGAAGGAAAAGAAAGAAAGATGCACAGTCCTTCCAGGATTGCCGTCTCGTCTCCTCTTACCTTCACGTTAGTCCGGAGTGCACAGTAACATGCAAAAAACATTGCAGTAAGCAAGGAGCATATGGACCAGGACGCAGCTCCTCTGCTCTGCACAAACCACACACACAACCACACTAACACACACACACGCAATCCTCAGCATGTGCTACTAAGAAGCATTCGTTCTCTCTGTCAGTTTCAAATGCATTGATCTCTGGGCTCCCCCCCTTTTTTTTTTGCTCCCCGCTGACTACAGGAAAGACATGTCTTGAAGGCACTGAATGAAAGCTACACGTCTCCTCTTCCCTGCCTCTACAGAGCATCATGCCCAGCAAAGGCAATTAGGAGAGATTTCGGCAGCTGCAACTTGAGAGAGAGAGACCTCAGTTGCTTTGCATCCCAGCATTTTAAAAAACCGGTGAAAAAGAAACCAGGAGTGAAGCGATGCCGGGGGGGGGGGAGGAGGTTGGAAGAGGAGGAGGAAGACGAGGAGGAGGTGGAGGAAGAAAAAAGAAGAAGCTTGCCCAGGGAGGGTGGGGGGGGAAGGTGAGGATTTAAAATTATAACCAGCTGAGTCGCTTATACTTCCCAACGTCTTTGAGGTTTTGTTTGTTTTGAAATGTTTCACAAATGCAATCAGTGTTAGATGTTGGGGTGGGGGGGGGGAGAGAGAGACAATAGGGACCTCCTTTCTATTCTGAGGTTGCAGTCTGCAATGTTTCCGTCTCGCCTTGCTCAAGATGCAGCGTCTCTTTTAACAGCGGCAACGTCATCATCACCCATGACAGATTCAACATGTTCTACTTACAAATACAAGCGTCTGATTAGGGACAGCGCCGGGCTGACTTAAGAATGCTTCTCCGGACACACAAGTTCACTCCCCCCCGGTGCTAATCTGTTTTGGAAACAGGGAAGGAAGAGTAGATCCCAACCTATTTGCTCCCTCTCCTCCAGCAAGATGAGCAGAAAGGTTGGTTATGAAATACTGGTGGGGGTTGTCGCGGAGGAAGCGATTCCAAGATAGCTCACTGACACTGATGGCTTTTAAACGGTGGAGGCACTTTATACGCCTCAAGAAATGATGGGGGAAGCTGTGAACATGCAGAATTCAGGGCTGGGTTATACTCTTGCGTTCTGGCACCCACAATTCTGAATTGGTCATGTCCAAATATACGCCAGGAAATTAATGCCACAGCCCAACCAAGAAGCAAAAACCTCCATTCACAAGTATGCGCAGCAGCCTAGTTCTCATTGAGTTAGTAAATCTGTTGAGTGGGCTCTACCACTTCTGACCATCAGTGGGAGCTCATGATTTAGTGTTCAGCCAAACATTTAAAAAAAACTACAACCCAACTGCATATTGACAATTGGGGTGTCAGATTTCCTGATATCAATGTGCAGGAAATCGTTTTGGAAATCAGGAGCATTCAGTCACACGAGCACCCAGCTAGAAAAAAATGGTACATCCCATACGAGGGATAGGCGAATCAATCAATTTGAGTTTCTCTCAGTTTCTCATTTTGCCACTGTTAAATTTCTGCGTCAGATTGTGATTTAAGAACAATAACAATAAAATAGTCCTCGTGAAAATTTATCAGCATTGCATTGCAAATTTCTCCTAATTTACACGTTTGCATGCAATTTTGTGCCACGCACACATTTTGGCAAAGCAAATTCCCTAATATAATGCATTTTGAAAACTATTTTCACAGGTATATGCATTTTTATGTCCAGTATATGACTTGGTCAAGACGCCTGCTTCTTGGGAGAAGGGCAATGACAGGCCTAGACAGCATCTTGAGAAGTAGAGACGTCAGCTTGCCAACAAAGGTCCGTATAGTTAAAGCCATGGTTTTCCCAGTAGTGATGTATGGAAGTGAGAGCTGGACCATAAAGAAGGCTGATCGCCGAAGAATTGATGCTTTTGAATTATGGTGCTGGAGAAGACTCTTGAGAGTCCCATGGACTGCAAGAAGATCAAACCTCTCCATTCTTAAGGAAATCAGCCCTGTGTGCTCACTGGAAGGACAGATCGTGAAGCCACCTCATGAGAAGAGAAGACTCCCTGGAGAAGACACTGATGCTGGGAAAGATGGAGGGCACAAGGAGAAGGGGGCGACAGAGGACGAGATGGTTGGATAGTGTTTTTGAGGTTAACAGCATGAGTTTGACCAAACTGCGGGAGGTAGTGGAGGACAGAGGTGCCTGGCGTGCTCTGGTCCATGGGGTCACGAAGAGTCGGACATGACTAAACGACTAAACAACAAGAACAACAACATATGACTTGGTTGGAGAAACGCACAGCAGAATTTGAAGGAGTGTGCATTTCAAAGGACCGCTGCGTTTTGGTGCATGTACTGTTTTGGAAAGCCAATGTTGGACAGGGTCACCTTTGAATGCGAACTGAATTGAATTTCTCCCCCATCCATAGCCCAGACACAGGCTTAACGATTCAGTGAGAAGCAGGCCAGGGTAGCGCAGTTGGTAAAGCATGAGACTCCTAATCTCGAGGTCATGGGTTCGAACCCCATGTTGGGCAAAAAAAAATCCTGTATTGCAGGGGGTTGGACTAAATGACCCTCGTGGTTCCCTCTAGATCTACAATGCTATGATTCTATGAAACAGAAAAATCCCATGGACCCCACTGCTGTCACTCTCATGTCAGCCATACAGTTTCTTGGACAGGGGAAATAATTCATCCAAAGTCCAGCGCAATATACCCACTGCACACGGTAGAACAACTCCTTATAGATAGCCAGAAACTACTAATATGCACGGTGGATTTTGCAGCTGTCTTCAGAAATTAAGTTGGGGGAGGGGGTTGGGGAATGATTTCTTACCAACCCACTGCAGCACATATTTCAAGAAAATTAAAGTGGTAATGTTTGGCTCCAGCCTTTCCTATCAGCACCCAGCAAATTGTGTAGGATAAGCATAATATCTGCCAGTAGTGGCTTTTTGGATTTCTTTAAAATGAGGAGCTTTTGCACCAACCTCTGCAAATTCATAAGAAGAGGCGAGAAGGCTGAGGAAGGGGAAGTCTGTCTGTCTGTATGTAAAGGAATGGAAAAGTAACCAGCAAGGGAAAGACAGAAGAAGGAAGGAGGAAGGAGGAGAAATAAGAACAGCCACCTTCTCCCCCCACCCCCCATGATGATTTTTCCACTCAGAAAATGACAGTCCCAAAGGAGGAACTATTCTTAGCCCAGCATTGGTCGTGCATTTTTAACAGGGATGGGTAAACAAATCGTGTTTAAAGCTGGCAAGTTGCCTATACTGTACATTGTAGCAACTACTTAATATGTACTGCTGTCTTTCATTGGGGGGGAAATCCAGGTGGGTGCTAATCAGAAACTCTTACAGCTTGAATGGAGAGCCTGAATTCTCACTTCTTCTTACAACTTTTAGCAAGTAAAGGATTGGTGGTCACTGCAGCCCTTTTGTTGAAGTTCCTGGGCTTTTAATGTTGCTAGTGGCCGCCCACTGCAGGAAACAGGATGGTGGACCCTTTGTAAAACTGACCTCACTTGCTCTCAGTCTCTGCTCTAGTTACCGTTTAATAGCTACATGAAACCACTGGCAGTAGCCCTCTGACACTTCAGCCCATTAATATGTAGATGACAGGCATCCCCATCTCTCCTTTCCATCTTCTAATCCTGGGGAGGCTCTGGAAATCCCCAGATGATGTCTGCAGGCAGTTTTAGATTGGATGAGGGCAAACAAATCATGGTCACACGCAGTGCTGGCCCATCCGCGAGGCAGACTGAAGCAGCTGCCTCAGGCAGCTGAATTCCACAAGGCGGCACCCTGTGGGTGCCCCTGCTTGCCACAAGCCACATCAGCCATATGACCCTGGTAAGCAAGGCTTTCGTGAGGGGTGGCACCTTCCCTCAGGCGGAGAAATGGAGTGGGCCACCCCTGGTCACCCAAACTCCATGTTCATGCATTCAGACAGCATGGGGGGAAGTCTATGCACATCCTGATTAGGGGTGGCAGAGGTGGTTTTAGGTTAGTGCAAGTGGGTTGGCTGCACTGGGCACGGCACTGCAGGGGGCGCCACAACAATGCTGCAGAACAGAGTGCAAGATGCAGGGGACGCCATATTTTAGCATTGCACAGGGCATCACTGAAAATAATAATAATAATAATAATAATAATAATAATAATAATAATAATATATTATTTATACCCCACCCATCTGGCTGGGTCTCCCCAGCCACCCTGTGCGGCTTCCAACAAACTATTAAAATACAGTGGTCTGTTAAACATTAAAAGTTTCCCTAAACAGGACTGCCTTCAGATGTCTTCTAAAAGTCTGGTAGTTGTTTTTCTCTTTGACATCTGATGGGAGGGCGTTCCACGGGGCAGGTGCCACTACCGAGAAGGCCCTCTGCCTGGTTCCCTGTAACCTGGCTTCTCGCAGTGAGGGAACCGCCAGAAGGCCCTCGGAGCTGGACCTCAGTGTCTGGGCTGAAATATGAGGGTGGAGACGCTCCTTCAGATATACTGGACTGAGGCCATTTAGGGCTTTAAAGGTCAGCACTTTTAAGTTTGAGAGACCAAATGTGGCCACTGTCAATTTCCGTTTCTCATTTTTTTCAATCCTTAAGCCAAGTTCTCCACATCCCCACATCAGTTTGCAACTCTAAAAAAAATCCCCATTAAAATTAATCAGCATTTTAGTGCCCATTTCTCCTTTTGCTGCTACATCTTTTCCTAACACAATGCATTTTTGTATGTTATCTTCACTAATACACAAATGCATATGAACGCTTTACCATCGCGTACATATTACTTGGTGGGATAACTGCAATTGCAAAATTCAAACAAGTGCAAACTTCAAAGGAGGACTGTTTTTCGTTTGCTTAAATATTTTTTGTTAAGCATTACAAACAACAAATATAGCCACACCAAGTTATGCTGCCTGGGGCTGGTGGCAACTGCAGACCAAAGTACCCAGAAAGCAGGCAATTTTTGAAGTCTGTAATAGGAAGAAGCAGGGGCTGCCACAGGGGTTGGAGGAGCACTTAGGAAATAGCAGCCTAGCTGTCTTTGCTGGGAGACGCAAAGAAGTTCAAAGAAAAAAGTTAACACTCACACAATCATGGACAATTTATCCCTATCAAAATGCTACTCCCAGTTGTAAAAAAGAGAGAGAAAGGTAAATATTTTGGGCAGGCCTAAATGACACCAAATGTAGTGTTTTGGCAGAAAGTTTTTGAGTGGGTTGTTGGTTTTTTAGACCTATTCAACATTGCTTCCAGCTAGTTGTCTGAAAAATACAAGTCTGATGCAGTAAAGATGCGAGAAAATAACAGAGAGCCCTAATATATCTCAGGAAAGCGTCACACAAAGATAGAGAAGGGGTTCTCGAGGAAATGACTTCAGTATGACTCTCAAACAGAGCAGCGGCTTCGAGAAAACAGTTGTTCTGGCTGATGCTGCCAACTGTTCCATTAAGAAACAAACAAATCATGTCCTAGAAAATTCTTAGTCAAGAAATCTCAGAGATCTGATTGAGGTATGCATGGCGCCGTATAGTTCTATGCTGTTGTTTTATGGTGAATTTTGTTTCATTTTTGCAAGTCAAAACTCAAACTGCATTCATTCTCCTTTGAAGTTTGGATGGAACAACTATGTTACTCTCACATTTGTGCAATAGATCCAATTCAAGCAGTGCAATAGTCTGCTGTTTCCAGACACACACACACGCACACACACACACACACACACACACACACACACCCATCCCTCATCCAGGCAAGCCAGAAGCATTGTCACAGTTCAAGAACACATTCCAACCAGACAAAAACAACTGAGGAGGGTGCATATGGGGTGAGGCCTAGGGAGAGTCCCAAGGGCCAGACAGAAAGGATTGGGGGCCGCATTTCGAGATCTAATTCCTGGCCTGGTGAACGGTAAGTTATTGCAGAGCCTGTGTGGTGCAGGGCTCAGAGTTGAAGCAGTAGAAGCAGTAGAAAATGAAAGAGAGAGGTCTAGGATCCAGTCGTGGCTCAGTAGGTAGAGTGACCTTGGGCTACTCCAAGCCAGTCCACTCTCTCCCAGATTCACCACAGGAGTGTGGCAAGGATAAAACAGGTGTTTGCAGGTGGGAAGCAATGGGTCCTGCCCTGAGCTCCTTGGAGAAAGAGTAGGATAAAAATATAATATTATATTATAAAAATACAGTAAATGGTCTTCCATGCATGATGATGGCCCCAGCAGATGCAGCCAGACAAAGAACACTCAGGAATAAAACACTCAGGACTAAAATACAGTATATGAAAAGACAGGACAACCTCCCGCACCTGTACAGTGGTACAGTGGCATTTTTTTCTAAAAATTATCTCTAGATGCGAAATAGCCATGGCATAAAACAGCTTCTGAACACAAAACAAGGATGGCTAATACAGCTTAGCAGCCTAATACTGGCAGGCACTTTCAGTTGCCAAACATCAAGATAAACAAACTTCTAAACAGGATAATGTTCAATACGCATTGTGAATAATTCAGCAGCCTTAAACAGTCTATTGCAGGTGAACACCACTTTCAGCTGCCAAATGTGCTTTGACCGTGCACCCTACTTCAGTGGTACGTTTTGACATGTAAAATAGAGGATCTGGGATGGCAAAGTCTCCCAAAGTCTCCTACAGCAAGATTTATCTGGTAAGTTGCATCTACAATGTGGTTGATCACATATATATTTTGTTCAAAAACAAGGGGGAACATAAATGAGCTTCAAATATAAAATTATTTTATAGCTTTCATTTTAAGAGCATATGCTCTGATATAAGCAAGCCCCCTCCTGCCAACCTAGCAGTTCGAAAGCACGTCAAAGTGCAAGTAGATAAATAGGTACCGCTCTGGCAGGAAGGTAAACGGCATTTCCGTGCACTGCTCTGGTTCGCCAGAAGTGGCTTAGTCATGCTGGCCACATGACCCGGAAGCTGAACGCTGGTTCCCTTGGCCAATAAAGCGAGATGAGTACTGCAACCCCAGAGTCGGCCACGACTGGACCTAATGGTCAGGGGTCCCTTTACCTTTTAAGCAAGCCTCATAATTTTGCCTGAGCTAAAACGAAATGAAATGGGCATGTAATAAAGTTTTAACTACCATAGAGGGCCTCCTGCATCACTTCAAGTGGTCTGTTCCATATGACGCAGGAAACCATCCCTTAGTGTGGTTGCCTGAACCTTTTGGATGCGCCCCCCCCCTTCATTACATATAAGGCAAGCTCCATTTCTAAGGTCATTCCAGCATCCACTGAATACCTTGATTTTGCAGGAAGTCTTTTATGTGGAGATTGCTATCCAAGTCAGTATCTGCACTGGATCTGAAATACAGTGGATGCTCGGGTTGTGAATGTGATCCGTGCGAGAGGCACATTCGCAACCCGCAGTGTTCACAACCCGCAGTGGCGCTTCTGCGCATGCGCAACTGTTCCAGTACTTCCAGGTTTCAGCGCGTCCGTAACCCAAAAAAATTTGACCTGAAGCGTCCGTAACCCGAGGTATGACTGTAGTTACCTATATGAAATTG